ATTCTGTTGTTGTATTGTAAAAACATTTGCTTCTAACAATCAAGATGTTGTATTGCCACATTGGGCTAACTTTGCTGTATCACATTGGATATTTTTTCTTGATAATATATGTTATTATATTATTTTATGTTTTTAATTTAAGACCTTTTCCATGTGTCAGTCTTTTGCATGATTGTGATTTTATGAAGAGCAGTTAAATGGAATGCATGTGAAGCAAGTTTGGTGATGTGTCCTGCTTTACATTTTGCTTCTGGTAGCCATCTGCGGTAAATCTGAACAAGAGGGTAAGACCAGGGACATTGGGATATACTTCAAGATGCTACAAATTAACTTTAATATGCTACAAGTTAACTTTAATAAAGTTGCAAGATTTCTTGGTAGTACAGGAGTCGTGTTTTTGCATCACGTTCTTTTTTCTTCTCAGGGTTATGAGGGACTAGTGGAAGGAGGAGAAAATATCAAACAAGCAAACTGGCTCAGTGTATCCAATATTATTCAGTTGGTAAGGCTAATCTTTCCTGACTTCTTACTCTGTAACTAGATTGGTCTCATATTCATTTCTGTTGTGGCTATATGAGCCTTCTATGGTATAGAACTCTGACTTAACTCTGAGTAATTTGGTTTAAATATAAGTTTCTGAATTTGAGTGATGATTGATTCCCATTTTCAGGAAGAACTGAAATTGCATACTGTACTAGAACACAGTCAGTGGACTCTGTCTTCCTATCTGCTGTGCTGGTACTCAGTGCTTATTAATCGGATCACTATGAGCTGCCTCAACTCTCATGCCTTCCTTTGTCTTCTATTAATAGCAATGGTACCTTCAAATTTTACTGAATAAGACATGAGTCACTTTTCTTCTTAAAGTTTCCATGTTATTAGGAAGAAATAAGAATCTATTCAAGGAAGAATTTACAGTACTTTACATGAATTCAGTACAAGATAAACAGATATAGTTCAGCCAATTAAATCGCAGAGTAGTAAAACCTTGTATGCTGCTAAGCATTGGAATATTGTGACTCTTGGGCTTCTGGATGGCAAACTTTTATTAGCTAGCAATGCCCATAATTGTGAAGCAGGAATCATGGCTTGAATAACATGGTGTGACTAAGTAGGATACTGGCATACACAGCCCTTTCAATCGTCCATTCACATGACCAAGTAAAGCAGGGAATTAATGGATTATTCAACCCAAAAAGACAGAAATTGTAAGCCAACAACAAACACTGTCTTAAAGCTCGTTTACAATCCTGATTTGTATAGACAATCTCCCTCCCCAAGATCCATAATTCAGATATAACAGAAAACTATCTCACTTTGTCATCTGTTTATTCTTTCAGACAAAAAGACTAAGGAGTAAAGGGACTTCAGACACTGATATGCCACCTGTTCTTATTATACCTTATTAAGTTAGGATCCTTAAGTTATTGTTATATGTGACCATGGCTATTGAATAAAATCATTCTAGACTAGTAATGTCTGTCCAAGCTAATAGAAGTTCTTCAAGAACTCAGGTAGAGAGCTTTTCCAGCCTTGCTATCTGGGAAGATCCTGGTAATGAACTGAGTCTAGCAGGGCTCCTTCCTGAATGAAATTCTTCATGTAAACTTTGCTGCAGTTTATGTAGAAAATTTTCCTAAGGAGATTAGCAGTGTCTTCCTTTGAGATGGAAGGAAGGAATCCAGTCAGATAAATGTCCTAGTTAGTTGGTTTCAGGTCTTTCCTACCTGATATATCCCACCAATCCAGATCTCCTGAGCAGATGTGATACATAGCTCCTCCTCGTCCAGCTTTCAGAGCAGTCTGTGTGATCCTTCTGACTCTCTTGCATGTTTATTTTTTTATTTTCCTCTTTATGATTTCTCTTTTGCCCCACTTTTGTGAAGGATTTGGCTTGTTGCATAGCAAGAGCAATAATATTAGGTAGAGAGGATAATAATATTCTTCATCTATCCTTTCAAACAACCCTAAATGATAAGAAATGATTGCTTATGTACTGTAAATTGTTGTATGATGCAATTCCTCAATTTTGTGAGCTACTGCTGCATTGGCTTTTCACTTTTTTTTCAAATTCAGCCAAGGAAGTTTTATAATAGGTCTTATAGTTTTTTTTATTAGACCGCCCCCCCCCCCCCCCCGCCACACACAACATAGGTGTTTAAACAGTACAGGTTAATGACCCATGTCCCCATCCTCACCCTGGTAACCAAATCAGTGTCTTTGTCCTAGTTCAACTTTCCCGAATCCATCTCGAACCCTCCAGATATCTTGGGACAGCAGCTTCCAGTTACACTGGCATTCAGCCAGGATCACTGGGAATTCTTGGAATTGCAGTCTCAATACTTTTAAAGAAGATCAGTTTAGAAATTGCTGTCCTGGTGACTTAGTCCTAAATTTGTGTTCCATCATTGAAAAATGGAAAGGTTTGTCTTTGATGAACATCGTGGGATTGCTCTTTTTATTAAAAAAAAGTATTAACTACTACCATAGGAGGTAAGGGTTGCATTATGCTGGAATTGTTTCTTAGATGGACCTGACTGTCAGAACATCTCTGAAGTAGACCCAGTCAGCTCACTTACAAAAGTGTTGTTTTTTCCCTTATTCTTAGAGCCTTTCCCAGTTTGACTGGTGTGTTTCCTTTCTGTCAGGTAACATTCTGCTGTTGCATGTCTCTGTAGGATGGTTTCTTTTTTGTCTGCTGTTGATGCAGCTTCTGCTACTAATAAATACAGGCTTGAGCAAGGCTGGCATATCTATGCCGTGTTTTCTTTTATGTGCAATATAGATTATTCCAAAATGTTATCTAAAGGAGCCCATATAACAGTTGTGCCAGTTTCCTGGATTGCTTTGCACCCCTTTAACTGGTTTTGACAGCAGTCCAATTTAAAAAACAATAACCTTTCTAGCAGCATGCTCCTCCACTCCCGACCTTCTCAGCATATTTCTCTTCAGATTACCAGTATTGTAACAACTTAAATCCATAATTTTTGTGATTTTGGCCCTTATTTGTGTTACTAGTCCAAAA